GGAGGCAGTCGCCGATGGAGGCAGAGCATGGAGTGCGATGGAGGGTGTATGGAGGCTGCGATGGAGAGGAAGAAGGGGTAAAGAGGGAAAAACTTTCTTGTTCCACTTAGTTCCAGGGGTAATGGTGGAACAGGCGTGTCCCATGCTTGTCCAACTTAGTTCTACTCAGTTGTTAGATGAATGCTAGAGACGTTCTAATGTTATGACTGAAAGGTGTGAAAATTGTCCTGCTTTAATGAGGAACTCCTTTAGACAATCATGCACAGTATTCTCTGAAAAATGAAAATACTAGTGTTGGGTTTTAATTCTCGGCCATTTAAGAAGTTCGAAAGCATGGTCTCAGGAGCTGAGCCAGAAACCTTCACTTGAGAGAAGCATTTCGAGTATTGTAGCAACTGTAACTCTATTTCTTGTTGATGTAATAATATTTCCTTTCAAAATATTTTACCTGAACATGAATGATCAAATGCTTTCTGGCTTATAGATCCTAGTCAAATCCTTACCGTCCTTCCTTCCCATACATCCTTGTCCAAGTGGGTGTAATCTGTCCTGAGGACATTATTTAAGATATGTGGTAGTAGTGGAATATGCATAGAAGTAGTATGCCTGGTCTTTTCTGACTTATGAAAACGTCAACCTATGCAGTTAATAGCGCGCTATAGCGGTCCTGGCCGAAATAGCAGTGCATGAATAGCGCTGTATTATAGCGTTACCGAAAATAGCGGGCACTATTACCGCTATTGACCGCAATTTTGATACCAAATAGCGTCGCTATTACAGAATTTTCTTTTGGGCTCTTTTGGACTTCTTTCTTTAACTATTTGGGCTTTTGTTGTGTCATTTATATGGGCTATTTAGAGTCAAACTTAGGCCTACAAACAAAAAGGAAACATATTAAATCAACAATAGAAACAATTAGGTCAAACTTTGGTATCGATTCCATGTCCAAAGCTCTGCTCTTCAATTGCCGAGTCCAAAAAGCTTCATTCCACGGTTCCACGGGTTTTGTGCTGGATTTCTGCTAGAGTTTTCTTCTCGACTCGACAGCACAACTCCTGCTTACTCTATTACTATATGTTGCTTGTGTGGTTTGAATTGTTTGACTTGATATGTATTAGACATACAATATTTTAAGTTCTATATATGTATATATTCGTATTTATTTTATGAACATAATTTTTACCGCTATGTCACCGCTATATCTCCGCGATAAGTGTTATTTCAAATCAAGGCCCCGACCGCTATTTTCGTAATTGACTGCATTAATTGCTTAGATGTCAACATAATAAATAGTTTCTTCACGTCTTTACTCCCTGGACACAGGGTGCACAGACTGGACTTTGTAGCATAAGGTAGCTTCGGATGATGAAAGTTACCTTCTGTCTTTTTGGGTAAAGGGGGTTGTCCTCCACAAAAAGAAATTATTGATAAAAGAAAGAAAATACAAGAACATAATGGGCATACCCATTTTGGCTAAACAGTATTTAAAACCTTTGTATGCTCTCTATACCCATATAAATCCCTCTAGAATAAACATGGAAATAAAAATTCCTAACAAAATCTTTGAGGAGAGCCCATATAGCCCTGTTCGCGGGACGAATTCCAAATCCAGAAGCCCATCAAAGTTGAACATAATGGCCCAGTTACTAATCCATTTGCTCGTTAATTTCCTTCACAGTCCAATCAGCATAAGCCCAGCAAGTTAAATTCTCAACCCACTTTGCAAAAGAGAATCTTTGTAAACTAAACTTTGAAACTGACTCTGCTCCATACAAGCAGATCAGGATTTTGGTACAACAATTACCTCTATTTCTTCGAACCTTCATCTTCTTAGAGAACCTGCACAAGAACCTCCATTGTAGATGCTCTTATTGGTTAATGCTTAATCTGGTATCTAGGTACTTAAATATTTCAGATTTTACATCTCAAGTATCAAAATAAATGTCACCCTACAATTAATAGGAGAGAGCATGCTAGGGAGCAAAATAGTGCAGGAAGTGTGATCAAAACAAGGGAAGCAACAATTTGTTTGCTGAAAACTGGTTCCCAACATCTTCAAACCATACCTTCCAACTTTTGGATATTCTTTCTGGGGTTGGCTTTTTATCAACTGAATTATAGTATTGATTGGCAGCAAATGAAGATGATAATATGCATGGTGCATGTTATTAGGCGTAAGCTTTTTTTAAATGTTCGATTCTAAGAAAATAAACTTATGTTAAGGCTGTGACACGTATATTATATTTCATTAGGTGGTAAAACATTGCGTATAGTAGAAGAAGCATCAGTAATGGTGTCTTTGATTAATGTTATCATAGAGATAATATTATTCCCTCTCATCGCCATGCTTTGTGCCTAAAAGCCTTCTTATTGGCCAAGCATTCTGTGTATTTCCAAGTTTTCGTTAAACGTGATGACACTTGTATCTATCTCAGGGAAACTACGAGGATACAATTAAAGAATGTACCAAGGCATTGGAGATAAATCCTACATACATGAAAGCTCTGCTTAGACGAGGAGAGGCCCATGAAAAGCTTAAAAACTATGATGAGGCTATTGCTGGTAAGTACTTACGTTGATAGCTATATCACGCTAAAATTTCCATTTGGACTTCATATCTTGGTCTATTTTCACACATACTGTAATAACCAAACCAAATGGACCTAGTGAATTCACACAAAGTGGGGTTTGGGGAGGGTAAGATGTACTATACCTTTTCCCTATCCCAGGGGGTAAAGATGTTTCCTTGAAGACCCCCGGCTTGCCAAAAAGTCTTTGTGAAGATTAGAACCAACTTAAGGAAGCAAAAAAGTTTTGACGAGTTGAAAAGCTTGAAGCAAACTTAAGAAACGAAGTATACACCTTAATAGCATGAAATATAACAAGTATGCACAGTCAATATCATGAAATAAGATTAACAAATAGAGCAAGTACATAGCTGTAATGGCACAGTCAATGCCATGAATTATGTTTAAACAAGTAGAGCAAGTACACCAGCTGGAACGGCAGCATTAAAATGACATCTTTTAGGACTTTGTTGTGTGTTTATTTGAATTGCTTGTACTTTCTTTTCCAGATATGAAGAAAATCTTGGAGTTGGATCCTTCAAATCACCAAGCTAAGAGAACCATTATCCGTTTAGAGCCATTGGCTATAGAAAAGCGTGAAAAAATGAAGGAAGAGATGATTGGTAAGCATTACCTAAAGATACTCTTATGTTAATATTTTCTCATTGTCCTCTTCCCCTCTGAATATACCACACTACTCACTTATTGGCTACATGGTCATACATTAGGAATGGGCTATTTTGTTTTCTTAGAGTGCGTTTAACATGCGGACAGGACAAAACTGAACTTGTTGTCCCATGGTTTGGCATGACATTAGTATGGGATAGGACAGGACCGAGTGGGACAAAAGTGCATCTTTTTTGTCCCACCAAAGTAGCTGGACCAAAAAATCAGGGAGATGAGACAAGATTGGTAAATTACTAAACTACCCATGTCAAATTAAAACCGTCAAACCTTCCACAATTCTTTCACCCCCTACCTTGGTCTCGCCCGTCTGGTCCCTTCCAGTCCTATCCAGTCCCGATTGCACACCAAACGCCCCATTAGTCTCTTATATCCCATCCAACCATGAGTAACTCAATATCAATTACACGTTATGTTATTCTGCACTCCCAGTTCCTTAATATATTAACTTGCAACTTCAATGGGTGGAGGTTATAATTGTGCTGGTAAAGTTTTGTGTTCCCTCTACAATAATTGTCCACTTTGATTGAACACACTTGTTAAGAAATTCTGACCAACTGAGTGTTAAAAATTTCTACTTAGCAATTATACTTGCAAATAATAAAATAATACAAAGTCCCATTAAAGTGCAAGGGGAAACCGTTTATAAGTGGTTGTGACTTTAAAAGTACATATGGCCATTAGTGACCTACCTACCAAATGCATGGTTTCCATTAGAGGTGGTCATTTGTGGGATTGTGCTGGGCATGAGCCTTTCCGTCAGAGCATAACATATTTTTCTATCCAACTGGCTTAGGGGTCGTTTACCAAACACTTACCCGATAAGTGCTTACCGGTAAAATCTAACACTACTATTTACTTACCGGGTAAGATTTTAGTCACCAGAACGACATCATATGCAACAGTTTATCCGGTAAGCGCTTACCATGGTAAGAGTCGTCGTCTTCACTTACCGGGTAAGACTCATGGTCTTTGTCTCGCTCTTACCGGGTAAGATTCTTGATCCTTACCATATTCATCCGGTGAGGTAATGTTACTTGGTAAATGCTTACTCGGGTAAGTGTTTGGTAAACAACCCCTTAATATAGCAAAAACCCAAGCCTGTTTTTGCAGGCTCAATAACTTACCGTTACCCGCCCTGTAAACGGGCTGGGCTTGCCCCCGAGCAAATGGGTCTAAAATGTCTTTTACATTTAAAAAGACGAAACTTATATAAAATCATAAGCTACATAAAATCATTCAGAATACATAATTTTCTTTCCAACTTAAAATAAGAGGTTAAAACATAACAATGTATTCTCTTTAGAAAAAGATAGTTTCACAAATTTTGAGTCATGAAGAGTCAAGATCGAGATTCAGGCCATACTAGATGTATATCACATAGTATACAAGAGGCGGTTGATTCTCGGTTGGGGGAGTCGAGCCCAAAGCCAGCCAAGTGGGATTCTAAATTCTTTAATAAAATAATAACTGTACAAAAAATATAAACTGGCTTGACGGGTCTGTCTGGAATCCCATTTTTTTGAGAATGGTTGTTCAAGCCCGAGTTTCTAACGGGAATGTGTACAGCTCCAGTTTCCACTTTACTTGCTATAGAGGACCTTACGTAGCCAATTGTCTTTTCAACCAAAAATAGTACCATAAATTTTCTGCTGGTTTTGTAACCCAGTGTGTGCGTGTTACTGTCAGCAGGGTTGGGACTCGATAATTTGGGGGGAAGGAGGGTTATATCTAGTGGCTGTTTCTTTTTCATTACATCGGGTGACATTAGTTTTATAACCAATAACCTCTGAGCCAGCCCACCCCTCCCCAAGAGCATCATAGGCAAACCACACACACAACCACCCATTAGGTGGTTGGCTTAAGAGCTTAGGGGCCGTTTGGTAAGTGCTTATCAATAAAATTTAACACTATTATTTACTTACTAGGTAAGATTTTAGTCCACCAAAACGACATCGCATGCAACAATTTACCCGGTAAGTGCTTACAGTGGTAAGAGTCGTCGCCCTCACTTACCGGGTAAGACTCTTGGTCCTTGTCTCGCTCTTTCCGGGTAAGATTCTTGGTCCTTGCCATATTCATCTGCTGAGGTAACGTGACTTGGTAAGCGCTTACCCGAGCAAGCATTTGGTAAACGACCCCTTAGTGTCTGCAAAGGAGCTTAATTTCTAAATGAGTTGTAACTCTCCCATTATGGCAGTCAGACTCGAAACAACATCCGTATAAGCAAGTATACCATACTGGGACCAATTCCCTATTGTACTTGCTGGTGATGATAACCTATTACTAACTATAGTAACCATTCTTCAAGTATAGTCGCTATACCCAAAAACACAACCATGTATACTATGCATGTGTATAGCTTCTCAAATATTGGTGCTTCTAAAAGTTTCCGTCTAAAAACCCAACGATCCCAATATTTTCTGCTCGTAAATAAGGTTTGGGGGTAGGATGTAATCAGACATGCCCTTTGCCCCCAAAAGATTCAGGCCTGTTTGTTAGCAACTTAATAAGCTTAATAAGACTCACAGCTTATTCGGTTAGCTATAAATGACTGTTTGGTAGTGGCTAAATGATATAGAAAGTGGCTTATTCAATAAGCTTCTAGGAGGGAGCTTTATGCAGAAAGCCAAGTTTTGTCCAAACCTGCCCCTCCTAATTAAAAAACACGCTCCTATCATCTATGAAAAAACCTTCCCAATCTATACAACATATTAATTCACACAGACAACTTTATCTGTCCAGACTTAATAGATAGATAACCAACCAAACAGCCTACATAATTTCTGTCGACGAAGATTAGATTCTCTGAATGTTATGTTTGTGCAGGGAAGTTGAAAGATATGGGCAACACTATTCTGGGAAAATTTGGGATGAGCGTCGACAACTTTAAAGCAGTGCAAGATCCAAATACGGGATCATATTCTATCTCGTTTCAGCGCTAGAGATGGCTTCTGCGTGTTTATATATAGCTGAAGATATCTATGAGACTTTCTTTGGTATTAAGATTTCGGAAACAAACTGCATCCATGTTGGAGATATCGTGTTTTGTTTTTTCCGATCCGTTAAAAGTTGGTTACCACTTGTATCTTGCAATTGCAACAGTTGATGAACAACTTGGCCTTGCTTAAACATTTGTGCAACAATTGCATTTTTAGAGCATCTCCAACAGATTCTTCAAAATGGAGAAAATGAAGTTTTTGTTTTAGTTTTTTGCTCCAACAGATCTTTTAAAAGTTCATTATGGAGCAAGTACTCGAGAGGGTGGATAAATCTCCGATTTTGAACGTGGGTTGTGAGAAATATTATCATATTGTTCGACTAATTAAATGCTAGAAGTTTGTTGAGATAGTAAATCTATTTAATGTTAGAATCTCTAAAATGGAGAAACTGTTAAGAGTCAGATATTTTTTTCAAGATTTTGATTTTTTCTTAAAATTTTAAAGAAATTACAAAGAAACTGTTGAAGATACATATTTTATGTTTAGAAACTTGGTGATTCTTAATTAATGGAAGTGTTTGACAGAACATTTCCTAACATATCCTATAAAAATGGAAGTGAAGAATTGGAGGTATTTAGGTGAAATTTGAAGGTAATAGATTTAGGGGTGTATAAAAAACCATCAATCTGTTTCTATAAAATAATTAATATGATATTTTATTTAAAAATCATTCTAAAATATTTGTTGAAACGTCCAAAAACGTCCTATAAATCTATTGTAATCTTTTTAGATATGATGTTTTATAGTATAGTCTATAAACTTAAGTTTTATCTCATTTCAAAAAAAAAAAAAAAACTTTAAGTTTTATGAATTATTTCATTCGTCAAATTATGTAACTACTAACCCGTCAATCCAATCCAACCCGTAAGGGTTGGGTTCGATTATACTTTTAAATGAGTTGGATTGGGTTAAGATTTTTCTAAACAACCATAATTGGGTTGAGTTATAAAATTGTTGTAAACCGCTCAACCCAATCCGCGTTCATCCTTAAATAGATTCTCTAAACTTATCTTTTTGGAACTGAGAAAGTTAGAAGAAAGAAGATAGAGAATGCAACATTATTTAATATTTTAATGTCATAATTGATTTTAAAATTTTTAAAATTGAAAAGTTGTTGAAGTTGGGTTCAAACCTTACCAAAAGTGAGGAATGTGTGTGAGTTTATTTGTTATATTTACCGTTTATAAATATATATACTTCAATAAAAAATTTAATTTTCTTTTAAAAAAAATTGTAAGATTTGAACAAAAAATGTTCAAAAAGCCCTCTTTATTAATTTGTTAAGAAATTAGAGTTAGTGCTGTTTGGCAATTGCTGAATGGTTTGATATAGAATAATTAAGTGATCAGAATGATTAAGAGACTCTCATGATATAGTGCAAAATAAAATATAATTGTTTAGTAATCGTGTACAATGAAATTAGGGCTCTTAATGGTTAAGAAAGATCCAAGATACAAAATCATTAAGAGGGTTTTAGACCATTAAGAAGCATATTTTTTTTTTGCCAAACAATATTCACCTCTTAACAATTCATAGGTTACCTCTTAATAGAACTATTAAGAGGTAAACAAACAACACCTAACCCTAAATTGTTATTCAGTTGTTAATATCATAAGTATCATCTATTTTGGGGATGCTTCAATATGGTTTTTGCATTTGTATTATAGAATAAGATAAGTAAAAGATTATATGAAAATTACAACAAATACGTCACTTTTAATTGTTCCGTGAATGTTACGTTATATTATATGATATAAAAAGAATATTCTTTGTTTTCACAAAGAAAATGATCGTTCTTACTCAAACCCCAACCAGAATATATATTAGCGGTAAACATGGTATGATATCATGTTTTTTTTTCTTCTCAAAATCGTATACCAACAAATTATAATTGCTTACTGATAAAATTTAACACTATTATTTACTTGCCGGGTAAGATTTTAGTCCACCAAAACGACATCGTATGCAACAATTTACCCGGTAAGCACTTACCATGGTAAGAGTCGTCGCCTTCACTTACCGGGTAAGACTCTTGGTCTTTGTCTCGTTCTTACCGGATAAGATTCTCGTTCCTTACCATATTCATCCGGTGTGGTAATGTTAATTGGTAAGCGCTTACCCAGGTAAGCGTTTGATAAGTCACTAAAGTCTGTAGCTGAGTAAACAATAAAACGTTAATTGATAAATGATTAAATTCCTCTAAGAAAACAACCAAATGCGTTACTGTCTTATTTAATATTATTATTATTGGAGTAAATTACGGTTTTTGTTTACGTGTGTTGAAAATTGTTGTTTTCAATCTTCTGTTATAACCCAATCCAATGCTTGCGGTTTGAAAAATCTTAACCCAACCTAACCCAAACCAAAGTGCAACTCAACCCAACCCAACCCGTACAGGTTGGTTGGGTTAGTTGGGTTGGTCGGATTGATACTTTAGTACATTAAAATATTCTTTTAACTTTGAATTTGTTATTTCTCTACTCATAATTTCTTTTTCATCATCAACCATTTGAAATAACTTATCCATATTTCTTACGTATATCACATTCAGTTAATTTTCTCAATTTACATATATATGTTCACAGTTACTGAACATATATACGAATGAGTTATATAGAGATGTGAATAGATTGAAAATATGTGTATATGAAAAGCATACATGATAGTGTAATTGTCTAATATATATATATATTAATACAAATTCAACAATCATATTAAATCCAATAAATAAAAGGATATCGGTTTCATCGAGTTGGGTTGGATTATTTTACGTTGAATTGGGTTGATCGGATTGATCGAATTGGTCGTGTTTTTAAACACCCCTAACTTTGATAGATCATAAGTATGATACAAAATTGACATAAATATGTGACATATGGTGGTTGGGGTTGATAAGGTACCAAGTGGACCACCATGTGACTTTTAATCAAATCTTTTTAATCCCAAAATACCAAAATTTATATCTTTTAAAGAAAAGCAGTTGGAATTTTTTAAAATGATTTAATAATTTATATCCATATATTACATACGTAGATTGTATTATATCTATACTATCTTATAAAACATTTGATTAAAACTATTAAAACTCTTAAAACTCTTAAACCCGTTCATCCTTAAACGATTTCATCCCTATCCGATTTCATCCCATATCTGAATTCGTGTAACTAACTGCAGATAAACACAATCAAATACAAGATAAACATCTCATTTTAAATATAAAAAATCTAAAATATAATTAGTATAATTATTAAATTCTAACAGAATACTTAATTAT